ATATATATTCAAATGCATTGCTATTATTATTTTGAATAGCTGTTAGCTGAGCCTCGTAATTAAGAATAAGAAAAATAAAAATGCTTACTTCACCTGCACTTATCCCTCCTCCCGTGCTTTTCCTTTCTTAATGTAGATCTGAGTTTCTGACCTATGATTTCTCTTCTTTCTGCAGAACTTCTTTTAACACTTCTTGCAAGGCAGGTCCACTAGCAACAGGTTCCCTCCTTTTTTGATTTTGTCCAAAGTCTTTATTTCCTCTTCACTTCTGAAGGCTAATTGTGCAGGGTACAGAATTCTAGACAGGTAGCTTTTTGTCTCCCAACACATTAAATATGTGATTCCACTCTCTTCTTACTTGCATGGTCTCTGAGGAGAAGTTGAATTAATTTTTATCTTTGCTCCCTATAGGTAGGGTGTTTCCCCCCACGCCCACACTGACTTCTTTCTTTCAGGATTGTTTCTCTGTTTTTGATTTTCAACGGTCTGAATATTATATTCAGACCTGGGTGTACGTTTGGTTTGTTTTGGTTTGGGCATGTTTACTGCTGGGGTTCTCTGAGCTTTCTGGGTGTGTAATTTGGGGTCCCAACATGGACTTGGGGAAATCCTCTGTCATTATTGCTTTAAGTATTCCTTTCGTCCCTTCTCTTTCCTCTCTTTCTGGTAAATCCTATTGTATTGTATGTACACCTTTTATGGTTGTCACACAGCTCTTGGATATCCTGTTTTATTTCTTCAGTTTGTTCTGCTTGCTTTGCTATTTTGGAAGTTGCTATTGACATAGCCTCAAGCTCATAGGTTCTTTCCTCCGCCATGGCTGGTCTACTAATCAGCCCGTTAAAGGCATTCTTCATTTCAGTTACAGGATTTTTCATCTCTAGCATTTATCGCTTATTCTTTCTTAGAACTTCCATTTTTCTGCTTACACTGACCAGACCTAACTATGGCAAGGATATTGGAATTATCAGACCAGAAATTTAAAGCAACTATGATTAATATGCTAAGGGCTCTAACAGATGAAGTACACAGATGTAGAGCATCTCGTGTTTCTGTAGGGCCCTCTCCCACATCCTCCAAATCAGACTGCACCCTGTTCTCTACCCTCCATCCTCAATCACAAAGCCAGACCAATACCATGAAGCACAGCAGGGCTGCTCGGGTATTCATCATCCCAAACTTCTGCAGCTTTAAGGCAGAACATAACTTCCATAAAAGAGGAAAGGCTGTCCTTCTAGAATTAAATATATCCGATATACTTCTAGAATTAAATATATCTCCCTCACTTAAGGTTTCTACTCCTAATTTCCTTCTGTCAACACCTTCCATTCTAATGCCTCCCAAGTAGCCATCGTGACCCTACCCTGACTTTCAGACTTCAAATTAGCAGATTAAAGTTTATTGAATGCCCATGCCCATAAGCAAGGAGCCTTTGGAAGATACCCAGCACTTCTGTGTTGTTTGTATGCTGGAAGAGATAGAGAACATGAGTTTGTAACTCTGTTTTCATTCCATCTCAATAATAAAAATGTCAAGCATTTTCCACAATTCTGCCACTACTTAAGACACAACCATGTGGAGCAATGTGGTCTCTACCTCCAAGGAACTCACAAACGAACAGAGACTTAGTAGCTGATACAAAGTCCCACAAGTTAAGGCTCACGTAACCCTCTGGGTTTCTACTAACAGTCATCCCTCTAGGAGGCACCAAAAATAAATAAATATTATTTCGTAGATGGAAGGGTGGATAGATACATAAATACAGGGGCGCCTGGGTGGCTCAGTCAGGGGAGCGTCCGACTCTTGATTTTGGCTCAGGTGATGATCCCGGGGTTGTGGGATCAAGCCCCACATCGGGCCTTGCGCTGAGCATGGAGTGCGCCTAAGGTTCTCTCTCTCTTTGCCCCTCTCCCCTGCTTACAGTTGCGTGCTTTCACTGTCACTCTCTAAAAATAAAAAAATTAATAAAATAAAAAATGTTTAAAGATACATAGTTTTGTATGTATACGTACATACATAGCTGAACATATGGATGAATGTTCCTGTCTCTATTAAACCCATGACGACCCCACATTTACCAAGGAGGCATATAGAAGTGGCCTCAAAAATTGAATCCAGAAAGTAACTGAAAACGATCAGCATGGTAGAAATAGGCCATTACTAACCATTGCCTAATGATGGCACTGCAGCGTTAGAATTACATAAGGCGCTTTCAAAGTTGCAGGGATGACCCTCAGACTCCATCCCTGGAGATTCTGATTCAGTGAGGAGATAAACCTAGGTATCTGTATTTTTTTAAGTTTCTGGGATTTTTTTGATTCACAGCTGAGTTCGAGAACCATGGGGACAGATCCCCAGATCTAGCAGGTAAGAGTCAGGCAGCCATAGATCCAGGCAAAGAGTCAACACAGGGAAGACAGAAAACCCGTTGAGAAGACACAGCTAAGGCAGAAAACAGGGCTCTTTGCGTACCTTCAATTATAGGTGCAGTTGGCTTCAAGTCTGCAATAGACCTCAGTTTTCCAGCAGGTGCTAAGAGAGTTGTATATCACTCTTATTAAAGTAACACGGCTCTGAGAATATTTAAGGCTAACATCACACGGTTCACCCATGGTTGTCAATCAGATCTCGCGGTGTAACTCCCTCTGTGAAGAAATGAAGCTATGGAAGAGAGAGAAAGCACCTCAATATTTGCACGGTGAAAAGTATTATTTTTCTACTGTGGAAATGTGAGCTTGTCACTACAATGATTATCTTTTCCATTAAACCCTAAAAGGTTGGCACTGTTGAGCAAAATCAGCTTAATTCATCATTATCTTGTCACTGGCATGTCCCGAGGTCATCAAACATTGGTGAAAGCTTCCCTCTGGTTTTTCTTCACTGGCGTTTTTCACTGTCCTAGCTCCATAAAACCCAGTCCACAGCAGCCAGCCAGGAACCGTCTCCTGAGAAACATGCATGCCCTTCAATTTCACCTGAGAACATCCAACATCTAGAAGCCACTGGCTTTATCTTCAGGGAGCCAAAATTCAGTCTGGCCAAGGTAAACAACAAATTAGATTTTTGAGTTCAAGACACAACAGGGGGCAATGTGAACCTTTAAGAAACCCTATTAGGCTGAAACTGAACTCTTCCCCCTGCTGATTAGAACACGATCGTTCCCATCGACAAAGGAACTCACGCCTTACAAAAGAGTTATCCTCCAGGCTCCTGGAAACGTGGAGCTTTTCCTCACTTCTTGGGAGCAGGGCTGTTGCACGAAATTAGGCACACCTGGATGCCTTCATGGACCATGTTCATATGCTGAAGTCTTCTACTGCGTTGAGCCCTTGAAAGTCACAAAATTGCATCTGGCTAAATAGTCTCCAAGGTAAGAATTATTGAGTGACGTGAACCTAATTTGTCCCTGTTTTCCCGAGGCATAGTGCATGTGACACAGACCTTGTGCCTCTTTGGATTACTGTTCCTGGCTTCCTTCCCCCAGGTTCTGCTTGTCTCCTGAACCATGTTGCTGCCACTGCTTTTAACAACCTCCCCAAGGTGGCAAGAACCCAAGAGAGTCCCCAGGCTGCATGGCCAGCATGGACCGTGTATCATACTGAGGTACGGAGGCATTTCTAGATTTGGGTAACGTGCTACACCCAGACCATGGCATCTGGCTCCCTGAGCAGCTGCCATGGAGGCAAATAACGCAGGGGGCTGAGCATCCATTAGGAAATGGAAGGTGGAAGGGAGCCGCCTGACAAATGTCTCCTCATGTCTCCCTTCTGTGGACTACCCTGAGGACTAGTTCCTCTTTGAAATCCTTTTGGAGACAATCCAACGTGCAGCATTAATGTGCATGCCAACTGAGTTGTACGTCTTTTTTGTGGCTTGTTGTGAAGCAACAGCCAGTATGGTCACATATTGCAGAGTTTCATACGCTCCTTGGCTCACTTTCCATTTTCTTCACCCTCATCTCACTGGTCTCACACTTTGCAAATGTCACATCAGCAATTTTAGCCCTCGGTGAAAGCTCTGCTTTCTACAAGATGCAGGTGAAACAATTGTCCAAGAGTAGTTCTAGGAAGCAATTTTCAAGATGGAATTAGGGGGTGGATGGGGCGCCTGTCTAAAGGTAAATGGTACTCCACCACTAGAGGTACACGGAATGGGAATAATCCATTGGCATTTGGTAGACTCATGAACTCTTCAACTTTCATTGCAGTTAGTAGGGATAGAACGCAGATGGAAGGAGGTCAAGGCATTGGGAGCACAAGGGGTCATGGCACTCAATCATCATAGGAACAACAATAATTACAAGGATTGTGGGTTAGGGTGGGTACTAACGGCATCATTAAAGATACATAAATAACAGCTCAGGGAAGTCAATTTAAGGCATGATTTAAAATCCAGATACCCTCTATGGTAGTATTAAAGGAAATCTTTATTTCCTGCAGCCTCGGGAAGGACTCTGCTAAAAACCAGGGCAAGGCTCTGATTCTAGGGGGTCCAGAGCTGCCATGAAGTTGAAATGCAGAACCTCGGTGAATATTCTACGTCAAGTCAGAGCCCTGATAGGGAAGTGGAGGACTCTGAGATCTGGGATAGACACATTTGGGTGAAGGAACCTGAGCATCTCGAAACTCTGAGTTCCCTTATGCCGTCCTTCCCAAAGAGGCAGCACCTTCCCCCTCGCCAGAGAAGACTAGCCTCTACTTGCCTGGAGGATGTGCAGTGCTCTCGCCTGAAGCAGCTTCTCCACAAGATGCTGCTTGTCCTCCTGAAGACAAGCTTGTCCTCCACTAGCCGTCCTTGTCTCCAGGCTGACAACCGAAGTCAGGTCTCAGCGAGAGCAGATGGAGAAGCAGAAACCCTGTTTCAGGAAGGAATGGTCTAGATAGGTAAGAAATTACAAAGCCAGCGAGAACTTGGGAGCATAAATGGAAGCGAACGTTGGGGATGCTAGCCGAGGGTAGCAGCATACACAGCTGGACAGAGGGGAACTCACTGACACGGGATAATTCATTTATGATTCGCACTTTACTTTGTGTCAAGAAACACCTGTGTAACTCGCGGGGCTGGCTATTTGAAGCCTGGACTCCACAAGGGGACACAGTGACCAGAATGAGATGCCAGAATCACCTTGGCATCGTGTTAAAGAAGAGATCAGAAGACTTAGGGAAGTGGGAACATTAAACGTGGGTCTACCGTGTATGGTCCAAGAACCTATCACTCAGATGACAGAGTCTTTTCTAAGTCAGTAAAAAATCACACTGACGACGAAGAGATGAGCATTTTGGAGAAGTTCAGTGGGGGCTTTCAGAGGCCCAATGAACATGATTGCTTGATAGGCAGGAAGTTGAAGTGATAGTCAGGGTTTCTTGATCCAGAGGGATCCATGGCAGTAAATTAATAGATTATTGTGTCCTGGGGGTGAGACAGATGGGCAACCATTAGAATGTTGTATTTAGTGCTCGCTTTGGCAGCACATATACTAGAATGTTGTATTTATACACACAGAAAAATATCTAGATTTCCTAAGTAGCAGGCTGAAATTAACCACTGGGAGACAAATTGTGGCCTTCACCTCTTGACCAATTCACAGACACAGACCCCATGGTGAAGGGAATTCCAGGACCCTGAATCCTGACCAAAGTCAGCCTCACAGAGGACCCAGTGCATCTGCAAACCCACCCTGTGGTTATTTGCCCAGTTCCCAAGTATGTAGTTAGGACAGATCCACTTAGCATATGGTTAGCACTGAGACCCCCTCACAGTATTAGCCTGATGTGTGGAATAAGGGTCACTATGGTAGAAAGGGCCAGGTAGAAGCCCTGAAATTTCCCTAACTCCACAGCAGCCCCCAAGGTGAATGAGAAGCAATATGACATTTCTGGAGAAATCTCAGAGATTAACACCGTCATCAAAGATTTGAAAGATGAGGAAGGTGGTCCCCATTTTATTCTCATCTAATTCACCCTTGGCGGTGGACTATTGTAAGATTAACTCCATTTTCAGCCGCGGGCTGAATATGGATCTTTACTGGGGCAGATCAACACAGCGCCTGGCAATCTATCAGCAGGGAGAATCAAAGGAAGTTTATCTTTAATTAGCAGGAACAGCAATACATACTCACTGTCTTGCCTCGGGGCTATGTTAACTCTCTTGCTTTCTGTCATGATATAGCAGAACATCATGCTGATCCACTGTATTGGTGACACTATGGTAATTGGAACCGGTGAGCAGGAATTGGCAAGTATCCCAAACGCACTGAGACACCTGCATGGGAGAAAGTAGGAGATAAACTCCACAAAGAGGCAGAAGCATGCCACATTGGTGAGTTTTATAGCGTTGCACTTGTCTGGGATGTGTGGGGATATCCCCCCAAGGGAAAGAACAAGCTGCTGCACTCTGCATCTTATAGCACTAGGGCAGAGGCAGAATGCCTGGGAGTGTCTCTGGATTTTGAAGGCAATGTAGTCTAAACTTCTGTTCCATTTCTCTGATGACTCAGAAAACCACCAGTTTTGAATGGGGAGCAAGTCCAAGTTGTGGTTCCAAGCTCTCTGTTGCCTGGGCCATGGGACCAACAGATCTAAAGATGCCTTGGGGTATCTGCGCTGGATAAAGATGTGCGGTCCTCAATAGAAGAGACATAGCACAGAGCCTACAGATTCTGGAACGAGGCCATGCATTACGGTAGAGATCTATACTGTTTGAGAAGCAGCTACTGGACCCTAACCGAGACTCGGTAGCCAACCACGAGACACCCCGTTACTATTCAGTCTGATTTCCCCTTGTGAACTGGGCTGTTATCTAATCTACAAAGACATAAGTTTGGACATACACGCCAGCAATCGATCATGCAATGGAAGTGGTATATTTGAGTGTAGGCTTTAGCACATTCCGAACGGTGAAGTGAATGATATAAACAGCCACCTGGGCTCTCATTTCACTTACCTCTGCCACACTGTTGACTCTCCCTCAATCCCTACTTATAGATACCGTGTAGGTACCCTCTTCCTTACTGAACTCCGTGTTGGTTCACAGAATAGGATTGCCCCTGTATTGTTGCCCAAATTAAGAGAAGCCCCTTAAAGGTGACAGTAAAATGTAGTTCTTCTAGTGGAGCAAGCTGGAACCAGTGCACTTGGTCGCCCACTTTATGTGGGCAGAATGGTGGCCTGAGGCATAGATGTACTACCGTCTTTGCGGTGTTAGATGGCCTGGCTAGCTGCCAGGGGCCTGGAAGGAACAGAGTGGAAAATCAGAGACAAGGAAATCTGGGGATGGACCAGTGGACACGCGTACCCAAGTGCATGCGTGACCCTTTGGGTCTCACGTTAGTGCCTGAGGGCATGTACCCACGGGGTGGGGGGGGGGGGGTGTTAATCAGCAGCTACAAAGGATGGCCCATCTCCAGCGTGTCACCCAACCTCTGTCCTCAGATATCTCAGTGTTTGTTCAATGTGTCTGTGAACAGAGGGGTCAAAGTGCCAAGGATGTAGGTTACACAAGGGTCCAAAACCAGGGGCTCCCTTTCCCAAGGCTGACTTCCTTGTGATTGCTGATTGCCCAGTGTGCCAACACAAAGGCCAACGCTGAATCCTTGAAGTGGCATCGTTTATTGTATAGACCAGCGGGCCCCATGGGGCAGGGCAGGTACAACAATTTGTGAAGAGGAAATGAGTGACTGAATGAATGAATGCGGGAACTAAATGTGTGAGTCAGAGAGTGAAAGACTCACATGAGTTCGGGAAGACCAGTACAGCCCCTTCGGTCTCCTTTCCCCTGTTCCTCAGTCCACGCCCTAGGGCAGAGCCTTAAATGGACCATCCTCGGCCCTGTTCAGATACAACCTCATCTGCAATCTCGCTCTTGCAGGGCCTTTCTTCCAGGCGTAAGGCATCTCCCTGTCCGGGTAAAACACCCTGACGGATATTATTTCATTTCATCCTTACCGCAATCTCTCTTGAGAGGGAGATGTGACAGAAAGACAGTGCTCACAACGTCCGTTTTCTCTTCTTCTTGGGCACAGGACTAAACCACATTCCCCAGCCCCCCCCACCAGATAGATTAGGACCAACTGATCTCGTTCAGACAAATGGAAAACGGTGTGTGCTGCCTCCGGGTCTGGCACACATGAATACATTTCTTGGTGTGACCCTCCAATGTCTGTCCCGCCTGTGGAGACCTCTGAGGCCACATTCCGAAGATGACAGCCCCAACTAATGTCAGCGCCAAGGGCAGAGCCCCACCTTCGGGAGCCTAGCCCTAAACAGTCCTGGTGCGCACCCTGTTTTCCCCAGCCCTGCTTTCTGCTGTGGCCAAATGGCCATCTTCCCATTATAAAGGAACCCCCATTAGAATTCACATTTCTGGAAGCCTTTCCCGAACATTCTTCGCCTGCACACGTTTGAAGGGCTGGCATGAGGCCGAGGCGTAACCGGCACCGCGAGGCCCTGAGTTCTGTTGCGACCGAATCTGACTGCACTTGGAATAAAGGTGATGAAGAGGTCGCGCACGGTGACCAAAGCTACCAGATTTCCACTCTGCCCTACGTGGATTCAAGCTTTGCCTGTTTCCAAGACCGAAGCCAGCCGCAAAGAGAAGTCGTTTTGTCGGTTCTCCTTTCAACCGCCGTCATCGCTGCGCCCTCTGGTGGTTGTGAAAGTAATCGGGTCTGTCTACTCCTAGACGTTAGGGGAAAGGTGGGGGAGAGATGAAAGGCACGGAACTGGATTCCGCCCCGGAACGGCCCCTGTGAAAGGTCTGGGTGGTCACACTCGCGCGCGCACGCACACTCTTTGAGGACAATAGCAGGCTGGCGTGTGTGCGGCCCAATGGCAGCATCTTGCATGGGGGGGGGGGGCCACCTTGCCCGGAAGCAGATGCCAGAGGTGAGGAGAGGGATCGGCAGGAATGGAGAGGAGCAAATACATCAACGGGGAAAACCACAGGATTTGGAAGTGGACTCAAATGAAAGAAAGGAGGCAAAATGATGAAAGAATAAGCTAGGAGGTCTCTCCTGGTTCCAGACCGCTGGCCACATGCTACCCGGCTACCTCGGCCTCCAGAAGGTACAAATAGTACAGAATTGCACGGGGCAATCCGAAGACTGCACCATCCACTCCGACTGCTTTCCCCTCTTCCGACCCCTTCATGCCCCGTCCCTGCACCGACCAGAGGGGCTGGCCAACTACGTCCTTGGGGAAGGAAGCGGTACAGGTGATGACACCTGAAATCTTGCACCTACCGGGATAATGCCTGAGTCCCCTCCACCCCAGTCCTCATCTCCGGAAAGATTCATTCCTTGAGGGAAGCTTTTCCTAGGCTTCAAAGCAGAATACAAGCAGATCCAGGAAAAGTCATTTTGTAAGAATTGGGAAAATCTGGAGTAAGCAAAGATAAGTAGTTTTCTCAACTGCAGGACTTCTCAGAGCCTTAAGTACACTAACGTGCTATGAGAGTCAGCTGTAGGGAATCAGAAGCTGGTGTTTCCAAAATTACTTGAGCACTGTAACCGACTTTTCTTTTTTTTCAATGTTTTTTTTTTTATTTATTTTTGGGACAGAGAGAGACAGAGCATGAACAGGGGAGGGGCAGAGAGAGAGGGAGACACAGAATCGGAAACAGGCTCCAGGCTCCGAGCCATCAGCCCAGAGCCTGATGCGGGGCTCGAACTCACAGACCGCGAGATCGTGACCTGGCTGAAGTCGGACGCTTAACCGACTGCGCCACCCAGGCACCCCTGTAACCGACTTTTCAAAGAGCATCTTGAAAGCACTTGAGCGCTTCCTTAAACAACTGGTGAACACATTCCTGTTAAGGTCCAGAGGGCAGGTCCTTGTGATAGAAAGGGTACTATTCTAGGTGGCAAGACGCCAGAGCTCCCCCTCAGATCTTCCACTCTGTATGTGTCTCTGTGTCTGTTCCTTTTTATTTTTTCTTGGATTTTCTTTCCTCATCTGCAAAGTGAGGAGTTTAGAGAGATCCATGGTTTCCGAACTGTTCCAGGGAACTTGGGGCTTCAAGACGGTACTTCATCGATTCCACAAGTCATGACATTTCCATAAATTAAGAAAATGTTGGTCTCAGCTCAGGTCTTGATCTCAGGGTCGTGAGTTCAAGCCCTGCGTTGGGCTCTGTGCTGGGGGTGAAGCCTACTTTAAAAAAATGTACTAAATTAACGTGAAGTCCTGAGAGAATCCATTATTCTCCTTTTACCTATTTTACATTGAAAGACTTTCCAAAGATTTTATTTGAACAAGAGAGTTTGTTAAAACTGCTTGAAACCCTCTAGAATATTAGATCTCTCCAGACAATTCCGGACATCTATAACTGTGCAAGCATATGAACCAGAATCCAGGTAGAATGGTCTGGAATTACAAGACTTACCAGTGTGGATGGTTGCTAGCTGAGTGATAGAGCCAAGTCACAAGATGGCAGGGGAATTTCTGTGCTACTCGTTCAGCTATTGGGAATCAAGGAAGAGTAGCTGTGGCCACAATAGGAAACTGAACAGGACACACGTCAGAGGAAGCAGGGCTGTCCTAGATGGGCAGTGGGAGCCAAATCCAGGGCAAAGGTTCCTGTGGCTGGAGTCGCCTTTCCCTGGGTCACTACAACAGCCTCTTCCTTTCCTGTCTCCCTGGCTACCCCTCCTGCTCAGCCCTCGGGTGTTATTAAATAATCCTCCTCGAATAGCCCCTTTCTTGCTCCCTGGTTGCCCATGAACCTGCAAGAACGCATTGCAACCTTTGCAGACACTCCCTGACTGGTTCCCAGTGATGTACCAGGAAGCTGCCATCTCCATAGCTCGCTAGCAGAGAAAATCATGAGTTAAAAAAGGAAACCAAAACCGAAATGACCCACTCCTTAAAAACAAATGACCCAAGGGGCACCTGGGTGGCTCAGTCGGTTGAGCATCTGACTTCGGCTCAGGTCATGATCTCACAGTTCGTGAGTTCGAGCCCCCACATCAGGCTCTCTGCTGTCAGCACGGAGCCCACTTCAGATCCTCTGTGTCCCTCTGCCCCTCCCCGGCTTGTGCTCAAAAATAAATATTTTTTAAAACATGACATGAGAACCTTACGTATCCAATCTGTGGGCTTCAGCAGAAATGGAATTGAGAGGAAAAGGCAAAACTTTATTTTTTTAAGTTTATTTACCTATGTTGAGAGAGGGGGAGAGAGAAGGAAAGAAAGAAAGAAGGAAAGAACGAACACAAGTCCACACAGAGCTCGATGCAGAGCTCAAACTCACGAACTGTGAGATCATGAGCCAAAATCAAGAGTCAGACACTTAATCTAGTGAGCCACCCAGGCTCCCCGGATAATGCATAACTTTAAATTGATATTTTAGAAAATTAGAAAGAAAATCAATTAAGAATATGACCGAAGGCTGGCCACAGTGGTAGTTTAGTTTGTAATCTCCCCGTAAAGCCTCCTGACCACCGAGTGGACCGGAGAGGATAGCCCCCACCGGAAACAGAACCAAATAACAAGTCCGCATGTAACCTCTTCAACCAAACTAGGCGACAGGAAATCTACCAAACTCTGGGAAATGGACAAATGCCATCCACCCAGCCACAACAAGATGTGGCCGCAAGAATGAAAACCCTCCCCCACCTCAAAATGCTCACGCCCACAAGAGGAAGAAGGATTCTGAGCAGAACCCGGGCCGGCAGATTTGCGAGCGTCCTGCGCGGGCAAGGAAGGTCCCACAGGCTGGCAGTTGACGGAGACAACAAAAATAACTCGGGACACGGGCCGAGCAAAGGAGGGGTGGGGCCGTTTAAGACCTTGGGAATCTCAGAAAAGGCTGGCAAACAATTCATTCCAGCAGGAAAGAGCCTCAGGTTGAGGGCAAATTACTGGAAACAGAAACCAAACTGAGCAGGCCAGGAACACCCTGAGTAAGTGAAAGAGAAAGCTGGGTGGGGGGTGGGGGGGGAGCCAGCCTCAGAAAATGCCAAAAGGCCACGAACAGAGAGCATGCTGGGAAAGCTGGGCCTGCAGAGCACTATGGTTGGGAAGGGGGGCGGGGGAGCGCCTGGAACAGGAAATCTCCTGGAACCAGACTTGTAGCTCGAGGAGACAAAGTAGCCATGGAGACAGGCCTTATTTTGAGTCATTTGTGATAGACAGGAGGTGACCCTGAGCCTTGAGCTGGGAAAATGCCCTAGGCCATCTCCTCCCAAACCCCCTGCTCACTCCCAACTGAACCTCTTCCTCCAGGCCTGGAAAAGCCAACTGCTTTAACCGTGAGGGAGAAGGCAAATCCAGCACAGCTCCACACGAAGGTACCTTCAGGAAGATGAACGAGCAAGACTGGAGCCAGGCAGGTGCCCTTAGGGCCGGCTTCCCTTGCCCTTGGCCACCTCTCGTTTCAGTCTCAGCTACGAGCCCAGCCCCAGCCCAGCCTGCCCGGCCTCCTCCCCTGGGCTCCTTGCCTCTTCCCGCTTTCTGCCTGGGGGCTTTTTCCAGTATGGCTCAGCTCACTGGTAAGAGCAGCCTGGAAGCCCAGGGAAGCTGATGCCCCCAGGGGCAGCCCTCGAGCAAAGGAAGATGCCAGCCTCCTGGGCCTTCAGCCCTTTGTCTGTTTGCAGAGATCCTGGTGGATCAAGTCCCCATTGCCCACAACTTTTTTATTTTATTATTTTTAAAAATTTTTTTTAATGTTTATTTATTTTTCAGAGAGAGAGACAGACCGAGGGTGAGTGGGGGAAGGACAGAAAGCGAGAGAGAGAGAGACCCAGAATCAGAAGCAGGCTCCAGGCTCGGAGCTGTCAGCACAGAGCTTGACTGGGGGCTCGAACTCGCAAATCGTGAGATCACGACCTGAGCTGAAGTGGGACATTTAACTGACGGAGCCACCCGGGGAACCCCTATTGTTTTACTTTTTTTATTTTTGAGAGAGAGAGAGAGAGAGAGAGAGAGAGAGCGCGAGAGCATGCGCACACAAGCAGGGGAAGGGCAGAGAGAGAGACAGAGGATCCAAAGCAGGTTCTATGCTGACGGCCGTGAGCCCGATGCCTGACCAGAGTTGGACACTTAACCAACTGAGCCACCCAGGTGCCCCCCCCCCGGCCCCCACCGTTGCCCACATCTTGATGGCACATCTTCACTTTGTCCTTTTTCCCTCCCTGTCTCACTGTCCCACATCACTCCTTCCCGCCTCCTGAGGTCAACCCCCCAAATAAGCCACCCCCACCCAGTCTATTTCAGGCAAGCTAATATTGGACGGGACCCTAGAAGACAGAACCTAACAAATTCTCAGGACAACCCCCTAGAGCCGGTGAGGCCGTTGTTTTTAAAATCGAAGGACAAGACAGTCCAGTAGTTGACAGAATTCAAAGCTCTTGCAAAGGATAACGGAGACAGCAAATTTCTAACTCAAGGAGATAACGATGAAGCCCTTGCAGAAGCTTGCACAAAGAGGGGCTAGAAAGGGCTGGGAAGGAAGGAAGGTGGGAAGAGCCAGAGGGATTTGCTGTAGGTTGGTGCGGTCACCATCAAAATGAAGGACTGTGCAGAGTTCACACATGTCCTCTTTCGGCTGTCATAAAATGCACGTGTGTTACCGAAACATGAATCCTAAGATGAGAAACGGTTCCTGGCACCAAATTGAAAGGAATTCTGTCGATAAAGAGAAAAACGAATATGTCTGAAGTGTTCTATTTTCTGTATACAAGGAAACAATGTGGGGTTGTGTTTCTCTTGGCCAGAGAAGTGGTTCACCAGTTAGATAGAGAACACCTTGGGAGAGGAGGG